TTGGCGACATTATTCGCCGGAAGTGTTTCAAATTTGGTATTTGAAGTTCGTAATTGGTACTACAGACTTAGCCAGAAAATTGTCTATGCAGGTCCATGTCTTCGAATAGCCCCCATATAACCGTACCTCCGGATATTCGGTATTTTGATGCTTTTACCTCATTATTCACCGTTTATTTCAAGTTTTGAATTTGAATATGGCAATGGCTTATGACAAACAAGGTTCACATCATAGAGACCCCCATGTAACGGCTTTATTCGGTATTTCTAAGATTTTAAGGGAATTTTTAACAGATTTTTTTTTTTTTTTGAAAATTTCCAAATTCGTTCCAAATGGTGGAGGGTATTCAACTGCTTTTTAACTTGTTTTTATAGTAAAAGATTTTTTTTTTAAATTTCTTAACTGATGGTTATTTTCACAGCATTGTTTTAAGGCAAAAATAATGCCATTTTCACTAAAAAATGTTTTCATTGTAATGTAAATCACATCACTTTTTAATGTTTTGAAAGTCCAAAATAAATAAAAGAAATACCACCTACCAGTAAAAATAAGAAAATCAGGATTTTGGTGGGATTTAAATATAAATATATTTTTGGGTCAAACATTGCCTACCTATCCATTTGAAAGGCAAAATTGAATATACCTTTTTGTGCAGCTCCCTCAATAATTACAACAGAAAGACGAATATTTGTAATTTGGTATATCAAATTCTCAGTTAATTGGAATCTTCCTCTACACAGTTATACTTTAAATCAATAATATCTTAATTTAAGAAATTGCCATATATTTCTATTTTTTACTTTTTCTTTCGGTTATTTCCCCAAAGTCTTGCTCTGTATGTCGGTTTCGGTACGGATTTTAAGAAATTGATTTTTTAAATATTTTTCTTTTTTTTTAGCTTCCTCGGTTAATATTTCATGTTAAGAGTATTGGAATTATTTGTTATTGCTCAATAAAATGGCTTTCAAAACATGTCATACAAAATAAATATAAATTCTTAAAATATGTTTTTGTAAATTATAACAGAATTTGACATTTTTGTACAACAATTACTCAAGAGCCCGTATGTTGAGTATTAGCAGAAATTGCTGGATTCATTATAAAAAAGAGAAGACTTAGCCCACCATGGCAGGTTTTTGAATAATATCGACCTAAAAATTACTGATCATCGGAAATTCGAACACCATGAAGGAAGCAATAAAATGTCGCTCAGTAGGGTGATATCCTGAAAAACGGAGATTTATTCAGAACAGTATTCTATCACTTAGAAATTTTGCTGAGACATTTATATTACCCCTAGTATGTTTGGTATTAAAAATGGGACATATCGGTCCATGCTCCGCTATTGCCCCCATATAGCGTTACTTCCTGATTTTTGGTATTTTGAATGTATTGACCAAAATTTTGTACCAAATCATGTCTAACTTGACATTTAGAGTTCTGAGTTGAAATTATCTCACCATGCTAATAAATGTCAAGATTACCCCACTTTTTGGTATAGGCCCCATATTACTGTAACTCCCAATTTTCGGTATTTTAAACGTTTCGACTTGAGAATTTAAATTCTGAGAGGATGGAATCTGTCCCAGTTGAATTTTTCGAAGATAGGTTCACTTTTATGTACAAAAAATATAACACTTCTAAAAATAACGGTACTTCCTTATTTTAGGTATTTTGAGGATTCCAGGCAGAGTTTTCTACAAGCTTATTATCTGGTATTTTGTTATCAATGGATAAGATCTTCGCAATATAGGATCAGAATTTATTTAGGTCTCTGTATAATTCAAGTTTAGCTACTGCCAAAAGGTCATTCTGAGTTGGTGAGAATTGCTAACATCAGTCAGGCGGTTCTTGACTTTCTGACTGTGAGATCGGAAGGGCACCTCTAATTTTTTAATGGAAAACTTCCTATTTGTTATGTAAAAAAACCCACACTTAATATTATTCGATGCTCATCAAAATTGTAATGCTTCTGCCCAGCCTAAAACTCTAACCCTCTAATAACGAAATATAAGTCGTTTTCTTTTTTATTTATTTATTATTATTATTATTTATTATTTTTTTTTTTGTTTATTAATGTGTATCACTTTTGTTGACCTTTAATAAATGTATTTTTATATTTTATTTTATATAACACAAATTCGTCTTTTTATACCCTCAGTCATATGGCTACAGAGGGTATATACAATTTCATACGGCCAAAACGTGCCTAGTCGAAATAACGGTTTTAGACCCTAGGTCTCTTTGGACCAAATCCGTTTCAGAATATTTGGAGTCGATTTAGCGATGTCCGTCTGTCTGTCTGACTGGCTGGTGTGCTCGATAACTCCGATTCGGTCCAAAGACTTGGTATATCTCAATATTTCCATCAATACAAAATCTCTTACAAATATTGTAGAGATCGGACCATTTCTTCTAGTATCTCCGCCACACAGGGTTCAAGATTTTGAAAAATAAAACGCTCAAAGCATCCAACTAATGATGATTATGGAATTTACGATTTCAGATAAAATTGGATGTAAATGTTTGATTTTCTTATAATTTTGCCCAAACCAATATTTTTCTGTACTTCGGTCGACTATATCTGGTATCTCACGCAAAATCTAACATTTTCTAAAATTTATAACATATCTCACATAAAGTGAAGGAAGTTTTTCGATATAGTTCAAATCCTGCACGTCCGATACGAAATTGATAGTATTGTCCCATTCCTTCGGAAGCTAGTCCTAAGAGAGTCAACAATTTGAACAATCATAACAGAAGTCAAATTATATTTAAATCGAACATTATCTGAGAGTATACATTTGTCGGCAAAACCGACTGATACTTTTAACTGGTTTTTAAATATTTTATATAAACAAATTTTAAGACAATTTTTTTGTGGCGATAGAAAGGATTTATTTTCTAAATCAAACCTATTTTGTTTTGAACTCACAGAAATAAACAACATCTTTTGCACATTCTCTCCTACATGCCCACTTTGTATTATCCGCAATTGACATATTATTTGTTGGAGAAAAAATTTTTAAATAAGACTCTTAATTTTTTTTAAGTTTTATAATTTTTTTAAGTATTAAAAAACAAGCTGTTAATTTCAAAAAAAGGTTAATGTATTTAAGAAAAATGCAAAAACATCAACATGTATTTAAGCCAGTTAAACGTCTTCTTTCGTCTTCAACTTGAAAAAAATTCAGTTCGTAACTGGAACTCCATGTTCCTGCTCGAATGGCGACCAGAATCAAGAACTTGAAGGAAGAAGGAAACTTTAACATATCAATTACAATCGAGTGTCAAATTCACTGATCTGCTTTTGAGTTGTCAGAAAATCCCCAAGAAAATTAGCAAAATCGCAGTCTATATTCAAAATAATTTTCCTTTTGGTCACATCGTTTTTTTTTTTCATAACAAAACACCACAAAATTCGTTCTCATATATTTTGTCATACAAGAAAATCTTATATTAATAAGTCCGATTTCCGTCCGTCTGTCAGCTGTCGTTATATTATTATTAAAATAAGATCGAGTTCGAAGGTGATCAATATCGGTTCACTCCTTCTTTTCTTATATCAATCAGTGATGTAAAATGCTCTTTTAATTCAATAGAACAATGAATGGGACACTTAAAACCAATTGAAAAAATTCTATCTCTAAACTGATAGACTAAAACTTAATTTAACTCGACTTCGATGAACTGCTTTCGTTTCTTTTTCATTTTCGATTGCCTTAGAAAAACTAGACATAAGTGAGTTTTTCACAATTTCGAACTGTTATTTTTATATAAAAAAAATTGAAAATTGAAAAATTCACATGGAATTGTTGTTATTTTTGTTTTTGAGCATAAATCAAATATTTGAAAAGTTCACACTCTTTTTTTAATAATCTCTCACTCTCTTTCGAGGCACATAAATAGACACTAGGTATACATTTCCGTTGCAAATCAATTCACCGATAAACAGTTAATATTTTTTGCTTAATTCGGTTAATTTGTCAATCTTGGTAATCCAATCAAATTCAATAATCCATTGATTATTATTTATATATTTATTTTTGTCTTTTTTATTTATATTTATTTATTATTATTAGTAATATTTTTTTGCAACCACACTTATTTTTTTTTTTATTTCCATGAAATTCTTCAGAAAATTATTATTATTTTTTTTTTTTTTTGTAAACATTTTCACTTCATTTTACATTTTCTTATTCAAATAAGCAGTTATAATTTTCACTTTATTATTATTATTATTTTTATTATTGTTATTATAATTGTTATTATTTTTTTTATTTTTTTTTTTTGTTCACTTTTCTGTGATACCTCATCCCAAATTCTTCAATTTTTCCCATAATTCCCAATTAAGAACACCATGAAATAATTTTGTTTTTGTAAAAATATTTTGTTTATATTTTCTTTGTATTTTTGTGTGTTTTTTTCGTTATAATTGTCAACTATTATTTTTTTTTTTTCGATAAAACTTAACTCTATAATACAATTGAAAATTTACTTAAAATCTAAAAAGAAAACTAAAGGAAAAATTCGTATTTACAAAACAATTAAACATTAAAAGGAGGAGAATTGAGAAAAAATTAAAATCAAACACTTCCCTTGTTCGTTTTGAGCAAATACAATTTTTAAACAATTTTCTGTGGGCAAAAAATTGTTCTTGCAAAAATTCGTTAAACTAAAAAAATTTTTTTTGGAAATAATAACTAAAAGAAGATGACGAAAAAAAGGACTGTTGCATCGACGATAGAACGAATGAACGAACTCAACGTACGATTTTATGAGTCGAGCATAAAAATTCGCCGGAATCCATGTTTAGAAGGAGAGGAGAATTTTTGTTTAGAGAGATGTAAAGGTGAGTAGTTGTTGTAGATTGTTGCAATAATCCCAGTATAAGGAGTCTTTGAGCCTTTTGATGCCATTCCAGGGGGAAACTTATATAACTATATCACAAGCATTTATGTTTGGGATAATGGATGAGGAGGAGACAGGATTTAGCCATATTTTGTTGAAGAAGTCCAAGCTCCTTTTTTATCACAAGTTTTTTTGTTTTTTCGTTTTTGAGTACCAAACAAGCAAACCATGAAGGCGGTGATATATCATCGTGTATGTGTGTGTAACTGGAACACTATTTCAGTGTTTTGCCGTCGGCATAATGAGAACTCCAGCTATCCACATAATGGTTCCGTTTGAACGTGATCGCTTGATTGTTTTGGTGCTGCTGCTGCTGCTCAGGACACGCAATTCAGCTTAAGATTGCCAAAGAGCGAGAGATTTTGGCAATTCTGGTTGCTGGTGCTGCTGCTGCCGGCAGGCAGACATCTCAAATGCCGCCGCTTTCGTTGGCCATTAGAATACGCTTCCATGCCAATTCCTTGGCAAGCCGTAGTAAATGAATTGCAATGACGATTTCTTTCGCCATCGTAACTTCTCAGTATGGGCGCCAAACGGTCTTCTGTTGGCTGGAAGCATTCTTTAGTTTGGTGGCAGCGGGCAGGGTGGTTTCGGGAGAGGTGGACTGGCGTGAGGATGATTCGTGATAGTAGGGCTTCATGGCGGAGGGGGCTTTCAGGTCGCAACGTTGACGGCCCAAGGGTTGAACGGGTGAGGAACGGGCCGAATCCAGGGATTTGTCCAAATCTTCAGTGGATCCATTCAGGCTGGGCACCTGGGGACGGAGTATGGGCACAAAGGCTGATTTGACAACATCGATTTGTTCATCATCCGAATCGGCATCGGAGGCAGATTGTTCGTGCAAGGAGTTGCTTTCCACCGAGGTGTTCAATTTGTTGTGCAAGGCTTGATGGGTGGGTGAGGACGATGAGGGCCGGGATGAGGCAGGGCTAATGTGAGCTGGACTAATGTGTTCCGTTGAGGAGTGCGATCCCAACGAGGTGTTGTGCAAATGGGATGGACGACCTCCACGCAAAGCGGCCAAGTTGTAGGGATGGAAGGCATGGGCATGGGCTGGCTTCTGGTGAGGATGCAACAAATCTGGATGAGCTGATGCAGCAGCGGCGGCGGCAGCAGCTGCCACGGGATTGAAGGGGAATTGAGGCATGCTATAGGTGGATCCTGGAGGCGAGGGAATCATGCTGGTGGCGGGGATGGCATTGACTCCCGATGGTGGTGGTGTAATTTGGCTGGGCAGGCGGTATTCATTGGGTGAACCGGCGGCGGCAGCCTGTGGTGGCGGAACCACAGTTTGGCCATTGGGCAAAGATGGTGAGGTCTTGGCCAAGGCAGGATGATGGACGGCAGCGGCGGCTGCCTGATGGCGGAAGTAATCAGCATAGCCGTAGGTCATGTAGGCGGCATCCAACCATGCTGGATTCAGCATGAATGGATTGAAGGCGCCGGGATGAGGATATCCATAGCCTAAAAAGAGAAAAAGAAAAACAAATCATAAGTATAAGGTTGTCAAGGGTTTAGGTTGATGCAAACAAAAAACATAAATGAAGGAAACTTAAAAAACGCTGCTGGCCAACTTTGGAGGACTTCAACAGAACCCCTCCATGCAGCATTTGTTGTTGCAAAAGAAACAAAAAAGATAAAAAACTAAAAACTTACTTTGCTTACTTCTTGGCTCCCGAGGTCCATCAACGGTGACCTTAATGGCCTTGGTGTATGAGGCAATCTGCACGGGATAGGTGGCAATGGTGATGGTCAGGCTAAAAGACTTGCCACGTCCTGAACGACCCACAAATCTCAAGTCATTGAATTTGGCAACTTGATTCTTCATGATGGCGGTGGCATTTCTCAGTTCGCCGCAGTAGTTCTCATCATTGCCGCACTTGATGGTGACCAAGGTACCATCGGGTACATCATCCAAAGCAATGACTTTGAAGGCACCGGGCAGGGATTTGTTGGAACGCCAGTGATTGGGCAAAGCGCTGCAGAGGATGGATGGTGAGCCGGTCTGGGCCAGTTCGCCGTGGTATTCTTGCAACATTTCGTGGAGACTGGCAAACATGTCGGTCATGGAACTGGGCATTTTGGCGGCATTCGAGGTGTTATCGGGCGTTGAGGAACCAGTGGAACTGGCACTGTTGGCGCGATTGTTATTCGAGTTGTTGTTGTTGCTGGAGGGCAAAGCCTGGGCGGGGGCAGCAACCATGGTGGGACCAGCAGGCAAATGCATTTTGTTGAGGTTTTCGAAAATCACGTTTGACAAGTAAGAAAAAATAAGTAATCCAAGTTTTTGATGGCTGGCGGTAATCCAAGTAGGGCGCGCGCGTTTTTGGTCTTTACACTTCGACAAACGTTTCAAGACTGTTTTCAAAATTTGCTACACAGTTACACTGTTTCACTTTTATGAGATTTTTCTTTCGTTCTCTTTTCTTCTTCTTTTAAATTGTGCGTGTTCGTTTTTAAGGAGATTTTCTTATTCTTTTTTTGTTGTTATTGTTTTCAAATATATGTTTAGGTCGTTTCGTTTTTGTATGAGTGTGTGCGGTTGGTTCTCATGAAAGGAAAATCGAAATTGGTTTTCTTTTTTCTTTTCTCGGGTTGTTATGTGTTTTTGTTGAGTGTGTGTTGTTAACACGTTCAAGTCGCTGAGTGAACTGACTCTCTGCTGCGATCATCAGCAGTATTTGAAGTAAAATTGTGAATCGCTTTATGGGTCGTTGTCAGTCCGTCCGCGCACACACACACACACGACAGGCTGCATACCCTTGTTGGCTGGCGGGTTGGCCAAGAGCAGCAAACGACCCCTTGTGCACACATTAAGGGTGCACAGGCAAACACGGACACACACACATACACTCACTCACCAAGGAGAGGCCGAACAACCAAAGCAGGTATCAAGCAACCACCATTGCCGCAACAACAACCACACAACAACAGCAGCAGCGGCGAGCGGCAGCAGTAGTCGTGGTAGCAGGAAAAAAATTTCCCATTTTTCCATTGTGGTATATATACGACACCAACAAATATAACAACACCAACAGCAATGGTAATAAAAACAATAACAGCAACAACAACACCGCCACCACCGCTGAGAACTGAGCACGCAAGTAACATTAACAAGCCAAAGGAGCAGGGAAACAAATGAAATGTTGCCACCACCACCACCAACAACAACTCAAACAAAAAACCTCAATTGCCAGCCAAAAAACTCCTCTTTTGTGAAATTCAATAAAAAAAAGCAGGAACAACGAAGGAAGACGACAAGACGAAGAAGAAAAAAACACAACATTTGGAGCCTGGAAAAATTCCTTGTTTTTTCCGCTACTCCAATTTATTCTCCACCATGTTTTTTTTTTTCTTTTTTAATTTTCCCCCATTGATGGCTAGCTGGCGGAGTAAAATCCCCTATAAATGTGAGCAGAATTTGTTTTTTACTCACTTTGTTGCTTTACTTTTTTTCCGCCGAGTTTTGTTGGGGGTTGGGTCCATCATCATAACACAACCCAGGCAAGCCGTTAAAAAATGAACCATTTTTTATAGGTTTTTCCCCGCATATGTGGGTGTGATGTTGTAGTTGTTATTGGATGAATGGATGTAAAAAAGCTCGCTCGCTCTCTTGTCTGCTCTTGGAGAGCAGTTGTTGAGATTTTTTTATGTTTTTTTTTTTTATCGAGGCATAATTTTCCCTTTTTTAATTTCTCTGGTCAGCTGTGGTGGCCGTTTTCGGTTTGACCTGTAAAAAAGTTGTTTTTATTGTAAAAATCGGAATATCTCAGTAGTACAACACTTGGCTACAAAATATTGAACTGGAATAATTCTGTGTACGACTACAGATGTAAAGAATTTATTGAACTTGTAAAAAAACACAGATCTGCAAACTCAAAGAAAAAAGTCCATGCTAATAAAATGAAAGGATGAGAGAAAATATCAGAGTAAATAAAAAAAATTAATTATTATTTATCATTTTGCAAAAACATAAATTTATTATTTTAATTCGTTTTTAAGAATGATTACGTATTTAAGAAAGAAACGAAGGTTGTAGATATACTAAGGAATCTTTAAGCATGTTCAGCTATATAATATTTGAAGTAGTGTTGATGAAATGTCCTTCAAAAACTAAATATTAAAGGTGAATTATCTATAGAATAATTGTAAATACTCATCCATGCATAAAATACCCTCAGAGGACCTCGTAAAATATATCCAGAACTGGATGTTGCATTCTCAAAATGCACCATTTTTTGTAAATATTGAAAAATGTTTAAAAAAAGCCAGTAATGATTATTTCCAAAAAAATGTCAAACAATATTTTACAGTTTTCTTCCAGGCAATTTTTGGGTCCTCTTCAATCACAAAGCCCTTTAAAAAACAGCAATGATTATTTCCGAAAAAATATCCAAAAAATATTTTACAGTCTTCTTCCAGACTAATTTTGGGTCCTCTTCAATCATAATGCCTTTCAAAAAAGTCAACAAAAAAGACTCTTTAAAGAGTATCAAAATTTTAATGAATATCACAAAAAGGTATTTTCCAGGAGGTATTCTCTAAGCTATGAAGGGTGTTCTGGTGTATTCTTCACACTCAAAAATCTTTGAAATATTGTAAAAATCTCCCAGAGGTATTTTCCAGGAAGTATTCTCTAAGCTATGAAGGTTGATCTGGTGTATTCTTCACACTCAAAAAACTTTAAAATAATGTAAAAATCTCACAGAAAACAATCGTATTTTTTATTGCCGTGAAAAAATATATATAGACATATATACAAATAGACATATGACAAATACTTATTATATAAATAATTTTATAATTATATTAATTTTAATTTATATTAATTAATTTTAATTATATTAATTATATAATTATAATAATATATATAATAAAAATATTTAATAAAGGAATTAACATCATATTATTGGAAAAAACTGATAGTTCGTTTAATGCTTCTTAAATACGCTTTACATTCTCATCCGTCTCTCCGCAATTGTCCTGCACAAACCCACCTGTAAAGAGTATAGTCCTTCGAGGTTTTTTTTTGCAAAATCCGTTTTAAAACGTTTTTTAAAGTCCTTCTAAAAATGAAAAAATATTTGAATATATAAAAATATTACAAAAATCAAGGGTTACATGCAAAAAAAAAAAATATTGAAAATCAAAAGTCCATAAACAAACACAAAGTCCTTTAAAGAAGTTTTTTAACAATGTAATCAAAAATAGGAGAATATATTCAAATATCCCTAAAAACTCATGGAATTATTATATTGCAAACACTTTTGAAAAATATTTAATATTTTTTCTAAAATTGACAAGCAAAAAAGCTGGGCCAAACTTTGAATACCCTCTACCATTTGGAATGAAATTGACAATTTTCAAAAAAAAAAAAGAAAAATCCGTAAAAAATTCTTTAAACTCTTAAAACCCCGAATGTAGCCATTATATTAAGGTCTATACGATGACGTGGACCTGTATAGGCTACTTTTACCAAAAACCATTACAATAGTCAAATGCGAAACTAAAATAATCAAAATACCGAATATAGGGAGTTGCCATCATAATGGGCTATGCCAAAACGTGGACCTGCACAGATAATTTTCTGTCATAGGCTGTAGTATCCATTACGAACTTCAAATACCAAATTTGAAATAATTCCGGTGAACAATGTCGCTAAAATCACCAAAATACCGAATATCGGGATGTGCCGTTATATGGGGGCTATACGAAGGCATGGACCTTCACGGACAATTTTCTGTCATAGGCTGTGGAATCCATTACAAACTTGAAATACCAATTTTGAAACATTTCCGGTGAATAATGTCGCTTAAATCACCAAAGTACCGAAAATAGGAATTTGCCATTATATGGGGGCTATATCAAAATGTGGTCCTTCATGGCCCATTTTCAATACCAAAAGTCCTGCAGACATAATATATATTTATGTTAAATTTTATCAACATACTTAATTTCGTTCATATGCTAGAGTAATTTCCACAGACGTACAGACGGATAGAGGGACGGATATCGATAAATCGATATAAAATTTTGCGCTGATCAAGAATATATATACTTTGTGTGGTCTAAAATGTATATTTCGAGGTTTTACAAACGGAATGACAAACTTAATATAATATACCATCCATATTATGGTGGAGGGTATAAAAATAATTATGTTGTTATTGTTATTTTTAATTTTTTGTTTATTTTTAATTTATTTTCATTATGTTTTTTTAACATTGAATGGCTTTCTTGACGTTTTCATTGAACATTTTCATAGAACAAGAATTTAATTGATAGTCAATAAAAAAATATATTTAAAATCTAATTATTATTCTCTGAACATGAAGATTATTGACTGATTTCCATAAAATAGCTATGTTCAGATTTTAAAATCCAATATTTTCAAAAAAAAAACAAAAGCAGTCTAAAAATTCCTTTTTTTGTTTTGTTCCTAAATACTTTCAAAATGATTAGGTTCATATTTCGAAAAAGAATTCAAAAAAAAAAAATAATTCAAAAATTTAATAAAAATAATATTTTTCCGGAACTATTGTCTTCCTTACTTAGAGTCCATTACTAAATGAATTTTGAATTTATAGTTAAAAAAACGCCAAATCTGAGATTATTACTGAGAATTTTGAAACAACGAACGCCAAATCTTTTAGAAAATATTGCAAATTCTTGGATATTATCTCTTAGACTTCAGAGAAAAATTATTGATAAATTGTGGATACAAGAAGAGAAATAGTTTTAAAGGCAGTATTCGAAAATGTCTTAATATTTTCCCTCTTGGTTCTTGCAAAGAGGATTAGGATTCAATTAAAGTATCTATGATTGTAAGGAAATCAGGAAAATATTATTTTAAGAATACTAAATTTATGTAAGAAGCATCCAAATACGAAACCTATATTCGAAACATCTTCTGGAAATTATCCCTGAAATACCATGGAGATATTCTAAAAAAAAATAATTTCATTCATGGATTATTTTCATTATTGGTGATCCGCATCTAATCATATTTAAAATCTCAAGATTATTTTCAACATTTTTTGATCACGCCAACATTTCCTGTATTAACCTCGAACACAGGTTTGCAGATCAATATTGAAAAATCTATATTAAATCCAGTCAAAGGAGGGGATTAATAAATTAAATCTTAAGGATAATCAACCACAGGTTGGACATAGATTACAGCTGGACATATGGATGTGATTCAATCCAGTGGAAGAGATATAAGAACATATCAATATGATTTGTACAAATTTTTAAATACTAGATTCTTAAATAAAATTGGTTTATCTTGATATTATGTTCGATCTCCATAACAATTGAAACAAAAAACAGATAGACATATATAAAATCGTTGCTTTCATATGCAATCCACCTCATTGCGATCCAAAGGAAGATTTATGAGAAAATATTGATATTATTTGTTGAATTTTTTTTTAATTCCAAATTCTCGAATACTTTTGGCTCATCTTTAGATTATTTTGAATTTTTTTTCGAAATAATTAGTTAAACATCGAAAAACTATTGAGCGAGCCAAGAAGGCGCGCGAGCAATGTCGCGTGACGTTTAAAAGGTGCACAGTAGGGGTTAACGTATTAAAGTAGTATTTTCAACTGAGAATTACAACAACAGTATTTTTTTTATCCAACTGTTTCACCGAGATAGCAAAAAC